AATTATTCAAGGATTACGTCTCGCGCTGTACCGTGATCGCTGCGTGCGCCACTGCCCTGAGCTGGGCGGAGGCCTGAAGACATTGCAGGAGTACGGGACAGATGGTTGTCCTTGTGCACGACAATGTCATAAGTGTTCACAGTCAACAGTCAACCATGATGCATTCCTCACCGGTAGCCCAGGCCTTAATCTTTATCCCACCATCCCCGCAGGCTTTGTCGCTGGCACTGGCGCTTCGGGACGAGGTGACTCAAGGAATGAGACACACTTGGCAATACCCGTATTGTGCCCGGAACCGCTCACAGTGCTGCGGGCAGCTCAAATCGGCGAGTAGTAGCAGATGCCGCAGGTGTGCGCGCCATCTATGCACAGTGTTGCAACGGTTTCCAATATCTCCCCTGTAAAGCCCGCAAAGACATCCCGTACCGATTGGCTTTAACCCGCTTGAAATTACAGCTGGACGGACTCGAAGATCTCCAAACTTGTGCTGGCTGAGCGGGCCAAGAACCTTTGGGTTTGGAAGGAGGTCCGTTTTCCGCGAAGCCTCCGCTCAACATTGCAAAAAGTCATGCTTCAGGCGCCAGGCGGCGTTGGTCCAAACGGCACCTTAGCTTGTCTGATGTGCTGTTGGCATTAGAGTCCAGCTTTTCCGACAGTTGCAGATGTTGCTGGCAACTAGTGACTAGTCACATGCTGCGGGCTCCCATTCTAACATAAGTTAGGCAAGACATGCATCAGCAAATCTTCTTGGGTCGGCCCCATCCATAACCCTTTCTCAGGAATTCTTTGGGGTGGCGTCCTCGGTGCCATGGCACGAGCAAGACAGGACAGAAGTGCATGAGCAGACATGGAATCGTTGCCCTTTGAAGCAGCCCCTCAGGAAAAGTCATGAACACTCCAAGTTCTGATTCAAGGATCCCTCGGAGCTGTGCGAGTGCTTACGCGCAGACTGGGCCGATGGTGCCGAGACTCTGGAAGTGGCTGAGGAGGACGCTCCTCGTTCCTGGGAGTTTGGGGTGGTGCATTCAGGTTTTAAGGACTGATTTGTTAGGCGGTCCCACGAAACAAATCAAAGGGACCTTCCAAGTGGAATGCACGTTGGAGAGCCTGCCTGAAAAGGCCCCACCAGCATAGTCTGCATATCACTTTTTGCGTCATCGAGCGTGAGGGAACAGACGATAGGCAAACCGAGATTGTGAGATTCAATGAGACAGCGACGACGCCAACATGAGCATGATGTGCAGGGAGATGCAAATTCACAGTGGTGAGGGGTACCCTTGCTGGCCGAGGAGGAACTGGGACCAGGCTCGAGTCGAGGGGCAGAGTTTACAAGACTATCAGCTGTTGTGCTGCTAGACAGCACCTTCCTACACTGTTCAATTTGCATGCGCAGTTCTTCTCACATTACCAGGAAGACCCAAATTTGATTTTAGAGCGTTGGAGTTTGCCAAGTGCCGCAGCCCAAAATCGGATGGGAAGGGCCAACATACCGTGCTTTTGCTTGTGCTCCTTCTCCTCCTCCTCCCATCTTTGCTGGAAAGCTCTTCGGTCAGAGCTTGGAGGCAACCCTGACACAGGCAAGCCAAGCTAGGGCCGCTAGGGCAGATGACAAGCAGCGCGTTAAGGCTGCTACTCAGAAAGTATATCAAGGCGAGAGCTCTCATTGCTTGTAACAGTCTGTGGACAGTTGCCTTGCGCAGTCTGTGTGATGACAAAAGCGATGCCGTGATCATGACGACTGCCTTTGACCGGCTAGCATTTGCCAACCAGAACAGATGCATGTTTCGTTTGCTGTGGCACTGCGTGTCGTAGTAGTAGTAGTAGTAG